GATCACCACTGATTTCACTCAATACGCTGCAGTTGTTCCGGTTTTTGTGTTAACAGGTGAGCGTGTTGGAGAGCCAGCTGGAGTTGTTGGTCCAAACATCACGTCGCTCAAGGTCCCCCTGGTCTCATCCTTCTCCGCCGCCCACCTGTCTTCCTGCCAGCTTCCCAGCCTGCTTAACCACCTGCCTCCAGACCTGCATCATAGCCTGCCTCGCTGTCAGCCTCACAGCCTGTTTCCTCGTCCCTTCCTGCATCCTCACTCTCTGCTGTTCGCCTGCCCCCCGGTCCCAAAGACCCAGCCCTGCCTCACCAAGACCGATCATCTTCCGTAAGAATAACCTCTCCAAACAATCCTAGTTTTGGTTCTCTGTTTCCAGGGTTTCGTTGTCCTAACACCTGTTTGCTTTCCCGTTTTAGATCTCGGTCCCTCCTGTTCCCGTCTGGAGCAGCGCTTTTAGTTACACACCATTCTTAATAAATATTATTTGTTATTTACTTACCCTCGTTTCCGTCTGTGATTCTTTCATGTCCTGGGTAAAACATATTCCCAACATGACAGTTGGAAGTGTAGCAGAGAGCGAGGCATGATTAAAATCACCAGATATATTCACAAATGCATTGGGGTGCTGGGTTTGTAGCTTAGCGACAACAGAACTAATGGCATCACATGCATTTTCAGCAATGGCTGAAGGTGGAATATAAATGGTTGCCAAGACAACACTGGTGAACTCTCTTGACAAATAATATTCTATTCAATTCAATTAAATTAAAAGTACTTTATTAATCCCAGAGGGAAACTGATTGCTGTAGCAGCTCAGAATAATAATAATAATAATCAAGTCATCAAAGAGGTGTTGTATATTACAATGGCTGTTGGCAGGAAGGATCTCCAGTAGCGGTCAGTGTTGCAGCCAAACTGAAGAAGCCTCTGACTGAAGACACTCTTCCGTTGTCGGACAGTCTTGTGAAGAGAATGCTCAGGGTTGTCCATCATTTTCTCGATTCTCTGGAGAATCCTTCTTTTCATTATCTCCTCCAGCGGTTCCACAGTCGCCCCCAGAACAGAACCAGCCTTTTTTATTAGGCTGTTGAGCCTTTTCAGGTCCCTGCTTCTGATGCTGCTACCCCAACAGACGATGGCTGAAGAGATCACACTCTCAACAACAGACTTGTAGAAGATCTGCAGCATCTTGCTACAGACATTGAAGGACCTAAGCGTCCTCAAGAAGTGCAGTCTGCTGTGTCCCTTCTTGTAAACGGCTTCGCTGTTCTTTCTCCAGTCCAGTCTGTTGTCCAGGTGAACTCCAAGGTGTTTGTATTCCTCAACCACCTCCACTTCTTCTCCCATGATGGAAACAGTGTTTGACTCCACCCTGTTTCTTCTGAAGTCTAAAATCATCTCCAAGAAAAGGCAAAACTTACATATAGTCAACAGAACTACTCCAACATGCAGCCACCCAGAGCAGCGCAGTTCCGGAAATGGAATATTATAATAAATATGGGCGACAACTTACTGCCAAGAGTTCAACATCTATTGTTGACAAGCACTGCCACTCCACCTCCTTTTCTTTTCCCGCTCCTCTTCAGATCTCTGTCTGCTCGTACAGTCAGGAATCCTGGCAGAGAGACGCTGGAATCGGGGATATGGTCCTGCAGCCACGTCTCAGTGAAACACATAACACTGCACTGCTGATACTCTGGCTGAGTCCATGAAAGGGCTTGGAGTTCATCCATCTTGTTGGCCGGTGATGTCACATCGCCCATTATGATCGATGGAAGAGATGGTTTGAATTTCCTCTTTCTCTGTCTCCGTTTTGCTCCCGCTCTGCACCCACCCTTCTTGCGTTTTAGCTCATTTGGGATTTGTGGTTTCAGTTGAGGTATTATTTCAGCATTTCCAATGTTAATCATCTGCTCCCAATTGTAAACCAGCTTGTTGCCATGGTTACGCATCATAACAAATGCTCAAAAAGTGAAAAAAGTGAAAAAATAGCAGTAAAAATCCTCCGAGCTTCACAGCACCAGAAACAGACAAGTAAAAGGTCCAAAAAATACAGTTATTCTTAAGAAGCAAGAAGAAAAAATGTCCAAAAAAGGCTAAACTTACATGTAGTTTACAGAGCTACTCCAACTTGCAGCCACCCAGAGCAGCGCGAGAATTGGAATCAGGATATAATATCAGAAATGACACAAAGTGCTTATCGATTTGAATAAAGATAGGCTGGTTATGCCATTATGTAAGAAATAGGGGGTTAATATTGTTGCTTTTAAGCTTGATATATTACCTTTACCTATGACCAAGAAGCTGTGATGTTCTATATAAATATAGGATATCAACCTTATTAGTGTTTGAACGTTTAATCAGAAGATTCTAGGATTCTTTGCTTTTTCAGTGATCACACACACTTTGTCTCAATTCAGACCGTCAGGTTTATAAAGATAAGAAATTTATTTTCTAAACAAATTAAAAACAAGAAAAGTTAAATAAGACGAATGTGATGGATGAATGTAAGAGGATGGGATGGGATGTATGATGATTTAATGGGGTGTGTTTATCAGAACCTTGTATCTAGAAGAAACTGAGTTCTGGCTGTGAAAAAGAATTTGGTCTGCATTAAACTGTGAAGTTGGTTCTGATAAAACGGCATCAGACGCAACCTCGCTGTGCTCTACGTACCCCTGAGGAGACTCTCCTTCGGATCCGAGATTTCGGGGGTCGGGCGACCCCAAGGGACCGAGGTTCGTAGAAAAGACCGCTGTACAACCAGGTCGGCCCAGAGTCGTCTCCCGGATCACAACAGATAGATGAAGTCGTCTGCGTCTAGAACAGCTGTTTCTGAGTAGCTGAAGGAACGTTTGCTGTGTCAGCTGCAGGCAGCTTTTAGCTTGTCGACAGCTTGTCAGGAGATGCGGTGGTTAGAGAGAGTTTCCTCCGGTGGCCAGTCCGGAGTTCTGCTCAAACCAGCGGAGTCCTGAACCACTCCGCAAGAGATCCTGTTTTAATATTCTCATGTTATGATTTACTTGGCCAGTCAGGACGTGCCATGTTAAGAGGTGTTAACAAACAATCCTCAGAACATCACGCCTTCTCAGATACAGGATGCTCTGATTTGTGGGTCAGAGCATCTCTATGTGCAGAAATAACTTTATCTTATGAAAATTGTGTCTGAGGGTAATTAATGATTCACTTGTTAAACCAAACATCACTGATCAGAACATCAAAATGTTTCACTGTAATATTAAAATTCATTTCAACTTCACTGGATCAGGCCCAGACTATTCAAACATTAATATTATTATTCATATAACGTTTGTTCATTCAGCCATATTATTATTTAACTTATGAGTTGTAAAAGTTCATCTTTTGTCCTGTGAAGCACGCGGATAGATAAGGTTGCAGCTCGGCAGAGAGGAACTTTGAGGAGGGATCATGATGATCAACAATCAGCGTGTAAACACGCAGTGGCGAGTCTTTCCTGCAGCTTAGAGAGACAGATTCATGTCTGTGGATGACCCGTCACTGAAAAGGTCAAACTGTAGGTGAAAACTGACCATTTCTGGATGCTACAATTACTATTATTAAAACATATTGCAGGTACCACAGAATATAATTGTAATAACTGGTAAAGTTAGAAGGTACTTTTGTGAGCCAGAAAGGAAAACTTCACTAAAAGGATTTGATGAAGATTCTTGTGACTTCACGGGCGTGTGGTGATAAGGAAAAGGCTAAGTTCAGAATACTGGTCAGGGTCGTCCCCATGTCGACACCTCCGGCGTCAGACTGGCACGACCAGGATGAACAACGTTAACTTTTGGCTATTTGAAGCTATTTGTAGCTAGCGGAGATAATAAAACGTTTAGCTCTAATACACATAATCTAAGTGTGTTTTGTTTTAAATGAGATATTAGGAATTAGACTACCTTTGGTTTTGGACCTGTGTGTCCTCATGCTCCTTGTCCCAGTTTACTGTTTGAATCTGGCCCACAAGCTGGGAACATCAAGCTCCTGATGAACACAAAAGACTTCTAATTCTTAGCTTTATCTGTACTTTTGCTTGGGCGAGGGAAATGCTCCTTAATGATAAGAATGGTCAGAATTAAATCTAAATGTTGAAATGCAAAAATGAAGGAGGTGGTTTTAATCTAAATCTGTAACCCGTTGATGCATATTGGTCTCTACAGCAGACAGCGACTCAAAATTGTTATTTATTTATTGCTATTAAGCACAGCTGTTGAAGACTTTATTGCATGTGAGCCGCTCCGTTTGGGCTTCAGTAAGTCAAGCCAACATGTTTCATGTTCAGAACGCACGCTGTCCACAGGGGTGGACATGTAATAAATTATCTGTAAATTATTAAATGTTACAAAAATATTTGTTGAAATTTGTTTCATTCACACCTGAAGATGAATGAAAACATTTGTTTAAAAAATCATGGTTGAAGATTTCATAATTCATGCATCAAAGGGTTAACTAAATTCATGAGGCTGTGCAGGAGAAGCAGACTGAGCATGAAGAAAGCCCCCATCTAACATCTCTGGGCTGCTTTGATGGATTTTCATGAGTCTGTTTGGTTATAAAAACGAAAGAGTGATCATTTATTCTAGAAATGTTTAAGGTCAATAAAACCACCAGAGGATGACATCGACTCCCTACAGGAGAAGCTTTAGATACATCTGTTCAGCAGCATCAGAACCGGGGATGGATGAAGGGAGGCTGCAGCTGAACTTCTGAAGAGAACCATGATGAGAGAAGATGAAAGCTTCTCCAACAGGGCTGAGAGGCTCTCTCCCCTCATCCATCCTGCGGAATGCAGCACGGTGAAGACAGCCGCTGGAACACAATGTAAAGGCTTCCTGCACGCGCAATCGACTCAAATGCGCAATCAAGATGGGCTGGGGGGGGGGGGGGGGGGGGGGGGGCACATCGATCAGAGAGAGAGAGAGAGAGAGAGAGAGAGAGAGAGAGAGAGAGAGAGAGAGAGAGAGAGAGAGAGAGAGAGAGAGAGAGAGCGTTCATCTCTCCAGACTCCCCCTCCCGTCTCTCCGCCAGCTGCTGCTGACTGGAGGTGCAGCGGTGTTTCTCTGCGTTACCGCACTATCTGCTCCGATCTGCTGCTGATCTGCGTGCTGGTGCGTGTCCGCTGCGCCGTCTGCTTTGAGCCAGGAAGCTTGGGGAGTGGAGCTATTCCGAGAGGTCCGTTACTCGGAGAGGAACGCAGCGACTTCTCTGGTGCTCTGCATGAAGCTGCGGTTCCGTTAGGGGAGGTAAGGGCGGGTTCTGATCAGCCTGCAGCGGCAACATCTCTCTCTCTCTCTCTCTCTCTCTCTCACACACACACACACACACACACACACACACACACACACACACACACACACACACACACACACACACACACACACCGGTCCGGACCACCAGCATCATCTGTCATCGTGTTTCGTGTTTACGTTGAGTCGCTTCAGGTGAAAGGTTGTCATAACACGCGCACGCTCAACCAGAAACGCTCCTCTCCGGGCTCGTATGCGCGTGAATGTGATGGAAGTGGCTGTTTCTCCAGAGCGCGTGCTGCGTTCATGTGACCATACTTAGAAATACCTGTTTGATCTGGTGTTGCGTTTGAGTGCAGGGCAGGCCCAGCAGTAAGTTTGATTTCTAAACGCCAGTTTACTTCAACACACGCACACGCGCGCGCACACACACACACGCACGCACGCACGCACGCACACACACACAGGGATTAGTTAGCATCACTACACTTATCAGAACTCTGAAACCAGCATGCTGGATGAGCCAGGGGTCTTCCAGAGAACGTTTAGAACATTTTGATAACAGAGAAGAACATTAATTAAGTCTGGAAATGACAAATGCGTGGACCAGTTTATCTCGGGGATGTTCCTGATCAAATGAATTAGATGAATCAAGGCTTGTTTCAGGAGAGAGGACAGATCGTGGTTTAAAAGAACACCAGGGTTCCTCATGGAGGTATGGAGGACACAATGTTTCAGTCAGTGTAGCTGCACCCTTACAAACAGTAACTACATGCAAAGGCGTTCTTCCCAGGCCTGGAAAGGTCCTTCCCCAAAGTAAAGACTGCTTTAAAATGGCCGTTTCTGCTCTGTGAACCTAATCGTTTACCTGAAAGGTCAGGAAGCACCTTTTTTCCTCTGCTGGGCTTTAATTTGGTGGCGTTTTTCACCCTGATGGAGGACTGGATCTTCTTAACCAGCTGTATTGTTGTCACCCGAGGGTTTATGCGGCTGCATCTCCAACTGGACAGCATCAGCACACGTTCACAAGAAGGGCTGTAACATCAGACATGGACTACTGTTGCAGAGGCGACGACAGAAGACAGAAACACTGTTGTGTTTTGTTTTGAACAAGATGGCAGGTTGAAAATAAGCAGATCCTGCAACTTCCTCCACAGCTGACCTGAACCGTTTACGCTTCTAACAGTTGTTTGTGTTAGCTGTTTCCTCTGCAACGCTGGTGCCATGTCTACCTGAGGGCCGTGCTTACTGATAGCGTTTCTACGTGTCTCAGTTAGCCATATTTATGTAGTCTTTTGCCACCAGTTACTCATGCTGTTCTGGTTCTTTTCCACGAGTCACACACGTGTTGAATCCATTCCATCTTAACTAGAATGAGCTGTTTTACAGCCAGCTGAAGAGAAACTACATGTTCAACACTAAAAACAAACCTTGGAGCACCACAACACCAAGATAATGCCAAACATGTAGGAGATTAATTGTACACAAGCGTGCAACAACACGACACCTTCTCGGACTCTCATCTGAACATGGAAGCTTTCACTGAGGAAGATGGGTTTGTGTGATTAGTTCTAGGAACCAGAACTGCGTGGGCTATGATGAGGGTTTGGACTAGAGTACTTTAAAGGCTTTATTATACAACATGAACAGTGTCCCGGTTCTCGGCCCGCTTCGTTCTGACACCATGAGGTCCTGACAACGGTGCAGATCGTGACTCTGCAGTAATACCAGGCTTGTCATCTCTAATTACTGTTATCATTGCTGATGGTAGAAGCCCTCGTGACACTGGAGAACGTCTGATTTAAATGACAGAATTTTTTAATAGTTTTCAGTTATTTTTTGCCACATGTGATGTCTTCCTCAACAAAACAGATATGGAGCCATTTTTGTTGTTTCAGAACTTTCAAGAAGTTAGTTTGATATTTGACCGTTTCTAGATAACAATGATTGTAAAACGACTAAAACATGAACGGCACTGTTCATTTGCTCAGCCACCAACCCGGACCGCTTTATAAAACCAGACTCAGCCCGGCTGGCCAGAATCAAAACAACAAATGTTAGTGCTCCAAGCTCACTTCTTTATTAGCACGGCACAGAGCCTTTGATAAGGGTCGATTACTGAAGACATGCACGAGTCATCATTCGACAGACAGGTACTGAAGTTGTTCTTCATGCTGTTAACTGTGGTGCAAACGTCCTGGGAAAAATGTAAAACAGAGAGAAACATTTGTCACTTCATGCTAATTTACTGCACAGAACAACATTTGTTCAACTACACACTTTGTCTGTAGAGACTGATTCCAATGTATTTATACTTAAAATACTGATTTTAGAAGAAGAAACAGTCTTTTATAAAGCGCCTCTGAAGCTAAAAATCACAAGAACGAAAATAAAGAAAAATAAAACACAATTGAAAAAGTTCTAAAAGATGGAAAAATAAAAATTGTTAATAAAATGTGAGGAAAGGGAAAAATGACCTGAATAAAAAAGAGATAACCAGTGGAACCTGAGAGGCAGAAGACTGAGGAGAAGATAGTGATGCAGAGTCACCTGAACAGGTGAGCTTTCAGCTGCCTTTTAGGCCGAACCTCTCTCTGTTCCACACGCAGGACGAGTCTGGTTCCTCTGAGACAAACAGCACCATGAGGGGCGGGACTAGCCAGCTCAAAATGAACCAATCAGAAAAATGGTAGGAATGCCGACTGTATCTCGTGACGCTGTAGTTACTTGGCTGTAGTCAAAGATGGCGTCTGGCGACGGTGCAAACATCCACCTAAGATTAAAAAGCTACAGCCAAAACCGGCTTCCCCTTGGAGCAATGAAAACTTAAAAATGTTGAAAAGATCTTGCAGGGCGGCAGAGAGAAAATGGAGGAAATATGAGAACACAATTAATAAACAAATATACACTGAATTATTAAAATCATACAACAAAGCTGTTAGAAATTCCAGAAATAATTACTTTTCTAAAATCATCTCGGAACACAAAAATAATCCCAAAATTCTGTTTTCTACAGTCACAAATATTTTGGGTCGTGAATTTAGTTCTCTCCAGAAAACCCCCTCGGACGCTCTCCGTGAGGAGTTTGCAGCCCACTTCAGAGGGAAGGTAGACACCATCAGACGTAACATTTTATCCTCCGAATGTCACGCTGCTCCCGATCAATCTGAGAGTGTGCGTCTACCTGAGGAAGCACTGGACAGTTTTGTCTTGGATGAAGTTGAGACTATTGATAAAGTTTTCTCCTCAGTGAGGCCCACCACCGGGGTTCTGGACCCGATCCCCACAAGGTTTTTTAAACAATTTTATGACTCTTTTAGAGATGAGGTTTTAACTTTGATGAACTGTTCCCTTCAGACGGGGGTCTTTCCTGCTGCTTTTAAACGGGCGGTAGTCAGACCCCTGACTTAAGATTTTATCAACCGCCAACATGTCCTAGAGAAATTTCAGTCTGGTTTTAGGGTGAACCACAGCACTGAGACGGCCCTTCTGAAGATTTTAAATGATTTCAGAACAAATTTTGATGCCTGGAGGGCAACAGTGTTGGTTCTGCTGGATCTAAGCGCTGCCTTTGATACAGTAGACCACACTGTTCTTTTAACCCGTTTAAAACAGATCGACCTCTCTGGTGCTGTTCACAGTTGGCTTACTTCCTACCTCACAGACAGGACTTTTATGGTGAGTCTGGATACCTGTTCCTCTGGGGTCCACAGCATCACATGCGGGGTGCCTCAGGGTTCAATTCTAGGCCCAGTGCTTTTTAATCTCTACATGCTCCCTCTGGGCAGCATCATCAGGAGACATGGGGTGAATTTCCACAGTTACGCTGATGATACACAGTTGTACATCTCCGTGTCTCCTGATGACGCACAGCCAATGGAAACACTTTTTAACTGGATTTTAGATATTAAATCATGGATGACTGAAAACTTTCTCCAGCTCAACCAGGGCAAAACTGAAGTTTTAGTCATCGGTCCTGAGGCCCAGAGAGAGAAACTTTTACCTAAACTACAACCAATCTCTTTTTATCCATCACTACAAGTGAAGAATCTGGGTCTTAGTTTTGACTCTGAGCTGACTTTTATCCCCCACATTTAAAACATCACAAAAATAGGTTTTTACCATCTTAAGAATATCGCCAGAGTCCGCCCATTCTCTCTCGGGCCAATACGGAGACGCTAGTGCATGCTTTTGTAACCAGTAGAATTGATTACTGCAATGCCCTGCGTTCTGGTCTTCCCAAAAAGAACATCTCAGGTTTACAACTTTTACAAAACTCAGCAGCACGTGTCCTGATGAAGACCAGGAAGCAGGAGCACATTACTCCGGTTTTAGAATCACTGCACTGGCTCCCCGTATGTTTCAGGATCGATTTTAAGGTTCTTTTAATGGTTTTTAAGTGTCTTAATGGTCTCGGGCCTTCTTATCTTTCAGAACTGCTTTTACTATATAAACCCTCACGGTCTCTGCGCTCCTCTGGCAGCCGTCTCCTAGTTATCCCTAAAGTTAAGACTCACACCCACGGCGAGGCGTCCTTCAAGTACTACGGCCCTCGCCTTTGGAACAGGCTGCCGGAGGACCTCAGGTGATTGTATGTCCACTTTTGGAAGTTGGGTGCGGGAGGGGAACTGTAATTTTTAATTGTTTTATACTTGGGGAGGGGGGCTGGGATGGGAATGTGGGATCTATGGGGCCATTTTAATCTGTGAAGCACTTTGAGTTGCATTTTTTTTGTATGAAAAGTGCTGTACAAATAAAGTTGATTTGATTTGATCTGTCTATAGAAGAAAGGCTGTGAGCACTTCTTCTTCTTCTTGTGGTTTTAAATGCATGTCCAAGTCATTTAGAACAGCGGAAAGAGCCGCCTCCATTATTCATGAGAAACTGAGTCGCGGTGTGTGACGTACTCTGCACAGTGCTGATTGGCTCGGTTAGAATTCTCAGGGGGTGGGGCTATTTGCATGGGAGCGTTACCAGGCTCTTCACTTCCCTTAAGA